TCTTCTCAATTTACATTGCATGGGGTAAGTTGTTGATTCAGGAACCAAGAATCTATTACTTCCTTATACGCAGATTTTTACTTAAGGTTAGGTATTCATTACGTTGTAAAAACACCAAACGTCCAGCAAAACTGACGTATTCTTTCACTCCCACACAGAACATATTTTTCCACGATGTCTGACAAAGGTATGTAAATTATTGTATGCCTGGACCACTGGCTTTATTAAGATGCGTCAGTCATCAGGTTATTGAATGTAGAAATGTACGTTTTTTAGAATATGTTGTATGTTGTTTTTTTTGTTTTTTTTTAAGGTGACTCACTTCCGCATCTTACGTTCCCTGAACAGCAACAGGTATTGTTGACAGCTAATATATTCCTATTTTTCATTTGTGTTCACACATGTACCCATACTTTGAGGAGTTCTTTCGCTCAAGATTTGCTATTAGAAAGCATGAAGTCCTGTTAGTTGAGTGAAAACAGAAAAAGGGCGTTTAGAGAAAATAATCCAGGAAATAGTCTTCACTGAGTATATTAGTAGTCGCTTTGCGAAACTTGAATGAATTATGCAACAAAAAAAGTATATATAAAAAGTTCTACTTTGTGTTTTTCACACTAAAAAGGTTATTTGGTAGATTTTATAATCCACAAACACGTTTGGTTATAGAATTTTATTTCCGTCATGCGCTATAGAGCTTCGTTGTTCAACGTAGACAAAGAAAAGTGAACGTAACTTCATTGACCTGGAGCGCACTCAGTGTTGGTGACGTAGTTTATCCCATGAAGGTAGAAGCCCACAATTATACCAGAATTTATACAATTTCCCAATAAATTGTACTTTCGGGCAATATTAGATATTGTCTTAGAATAGTTGGGGCCACCAAGTTACATTTTAGTGGATAGTGGTCATTTTGTCAGTGATATAGTGCTTTTACCATAGGTTACTATGGCAGTGATAATATGATGCTAAATTGCAGGTTGGAGACATAGGCTAAAATATCAAATATTGTGAATAATAGGGGTACTTGTTAGTGTTCTCAATTATTTCAAAAATCTGGGATTAAAAAGAGACAGGAACGAATGCAATTACATACTACAGGATTATTTTGAACCGCGGCTCTCACATTTGGGAGTTTCGGCCAATCAGAATGTTTTTGAGAATACACGTACCTTAATTTGTAGTAAATTTGTTGCATATTCACAGTTGCTGCCATACACGCCATACAATAACCAGGTTACCAGTGTATAACCACGTGAGAGTTCTTGGGCCCACATTGTTCAGTTCAAGTGGTACAATTTTTGGCATGAATGTATATCGTTTCCGGTTCTAGATGTATTACATGTATAAATATATTTTATTTCACTCTCAAGTGAAATTGATGAAACATTCTATTTTGCTACGTATTCACTTATAACGCATGTACACTTCTTGATGATTTACCGTAAAATGGGTTTTAAATTCACGGTTTTATCATTTGGATAATGTGTTCTATGCTCAATTATACATATTCACTGGGTTTTAATTTAGCGCATTTTCAAGTAAGCGAAATAAGCAAAATTAAAACCAGTGAATAATTAACAATTTTACAGTATTATGTGTGTGTTGATCTATGGTGCTATAAACAGTTCATTGACCGAGTATGGAAACACACCACAATGGATTGCGTTTGTTCTATAAGTTAAGTGTTTTTGCTTGCTTTTTAGAACTTTTTAGTACAAATTGTGTGATACATATATATATTTTTTGTCAGGTCTTGCCTCCACGTGGTCAAGTTATTCATGCCACGACTGTTAGGCACGTACGTATTCCTGAACCCCCTCCTAATCCCCACATGTGTCTATCCGTACTAAAGTGCCTCTTCTGTTGCTGGCCACTCGGACTGGTAGCTATTGTGAAATCGTTTGATGTAAGTGACATGCTTTATGTATTCTTGTAATTGAATAACGCCTTTTATGTCATTTAAAAAAAACTTCGTCGTAACTTCACGCCAATTGTACACAACCTTTGTTAGAACGAGTAGAACGAGTCACTGAATAATAATTAACATATACCTTGTTAAAACACTCTTCGCAATCCTTTAGATACATTTGTATTGAATGTGCCACCACTAACGGCTAAAATGACCAATGAATTAAAACAGTACTTACCTGGGAAGGCGTAGCACGTTGCGACTACCCATAGCTTATTAATTCCAGTCTCTTAATGTAAAAATGAATATACTTGCGTCTTCTCGCGATACACGGCAGTCACATTTTCGAATGATCCTGGTATCGCGAGTCAAAATACTAATCTCACGAGTAATCCTACGCTTTTGGGCAACAGTAAAATATTTTACGAGTCGTCAAAAATACGGTTATATTTTACTATAAACTATAGGATTACGTGAATACAAAACGTTTTGTGTGAGATAAAACGCGACATATGTGGGCTGTCTGGAAATAATTGTATTTGCATCCTATCAAACATAGCAGCCCCTGGGTTTGGCCGGTTCTCACACAAAGACGTTTGCTAAATCCGTTCTAAACGATTAGGATTTCGGCATTTCCATAATGTATCCTTGGGAGGAGAAGATGCATAATAATAAGGTTATCCTCATAATAAACTCATATTATCTTTCACTTAAACTGAATAACACATTGTATTATTTTGATAATGTTATTAGGTTCAATCAGCTCTGGCAGCAGGGGACATACCGCGTGCTGAAAAAAGTTCGAAGATTGCAGTCAAATTGAATATGGCAGCAATTATGTTTGGCATGGTTATCATCGTTGTTAATCTCATTCTGTTCCTGGGGGGGTTACCAAACCAAAATCAGTATGGTAATTAAGTGTCGCCGTGAAGACACTGTGCCATTATTATGATGGTGGTTGTTATCATATCATATACGTAATATCAATTGGTATAACATTGTATACCTTGATTAGTAATTGTATATTCATTCGCCCGCCTGTTATCGCGGCCTCCAGGAAATTAAAGGATTGTTAAATATACTATACACGTTTGATTTCGTATGTGATGGCAGTAATGTTCGTGCATACTCACGCACTTTCTATATGTGTATATGTCGTTGTTGTGTGTAATGTACTCGGTAGTTGTTTACTGTATTTTATGTAAAAAAATGTGTTTATATGCCCAAATTGCAGTAATTTTTCACGAGATGAAAAACTTATTGTAATCTCCGCAGTGTATGTAGATGTTTTTTTTTTTTTTTAAAAATAACTCTGATTAAATAAATATGCACTAATGATGACAATACGTAACCTTAAAACAAAAACTGTGAATCTCTCAAAATCGACCTTACATTTAAGAATCTATTTAGAAACTAATAAAAATATTCACGTCATTACGAGTACGTAAATACAATATAAAACTTATAATACAAAATGTAGCACTTTTTGCTTGGTCTCAAAAGTGACCTCCAGTTGTAATTGATTCTGCAGACTACGTACAATAATCACATTTTCCTTGGCGGTCGCTTGACTCTCTCGGGTTCAGCAGATTCAATTCTTAGGCCACTTTCTGAATTCTGCTTCCAATCTATTTTGTGCTTTTGTTTGGAGCAGTGCATTTAACACATATGCCTTTAAATGTGTTATGGATTGTAATTCATGTGTTTCTTCTCCCACGTGACGTCAGGTCAGGTCACACCACAGCCATCGTCTTACCCGTCCGTCTCGCTATCAGTGCGCTATATCGTTATTTCATTCTGCTCTTGGTCTCCCTCTACCTATGCTACCATCTACTCTCTCGTGCATGGTTGTAAGCGCCAATATATCATTCCTCCTACCAAGAGGGGTATTTTCATTAGCTGTAATCATTTTTTTTATTTTCGTAATAATGTAATTGAAATAAATAAGAAACGTAAATTCGTAGACATGGGCAAAGTATAAAACGTAATCAACTATTTTATTCGTCCGTAATTCGTACAAAAATCTTATTTTTGTAGGCGTATAAAGCATTTTCCACATTAAATGTCGTAATTCTTACGCAAGTTATCAAATATATTATAAAAATGTAAAATATAATTAGGAATTTGCTTTATCTGTAAAGTGTAAAAACCTATTTTTACTGTAAATGGAACTTTCATTTTATTTCCTGTAAACACGTAAAATGCCGTTTTTATTTCCTGTAACCTGTACCAGCTATGCCCTCTTTCACCCCCTACTAATGTGACCATTGTAGTTTTCTTTGCTTTGCTGCCATCAGGAGTGGTTCACTATTCCAGATTCGTTGGTGCGATGTTCTTTCTTGTAAAGCATCTCATTTCAAAAGCTTCTACACATTTTTTTTCTAATTGAGTACGTAAGCCAATGTCACGCAAGCATATAATGCAATAGTCTAAGGTGATTTGACTGATTGCATGAGTTTATTTTTTCTGCTTTAATATTTCTGCTGCTCCGTATTTTGTTTAATTTAGCCAATTGTCTGATCGCAATAGCTATTCTTGCATTGTCACGTCTTTGTTTATCATAGAACCTAGATATTGGAATTTGGCGACTTTGTTAAGTACTTTATTTATTTTATCGACTTTTATATCTATATTTTTGTTGAGTTCATTTATGTTCTTCTTTTAGTGTTACCATTATTTTTTATTACTTATTTCCATTCCATATATACATTCCATAAGTCTTGTTTCTGGATCATTCAATTCTTCTTTTAAGCCCGCCAGTAAATCGATATTGTGTTCTCCTACTGAGATAGTTGAAGTTTTCCAGGGCTTCATGCCTGATGTGCTCTATTGAATAAGCATGGTAAAAGTATGCATACTTGTGATGTCTTGAACCATTCTAGAGTTTTTTTAATAATAGCTAAAATAAAAGCTTTCGCCTGAAATCATTGTTGGATACATCACGATTTGTCTAATCATTTTTGTATTGTGTATTTACGTTGTATGATTCTGTATTAAGTTATGGAACTTATTATTCAGACATTGAAGTAAACTGTGCTTGCTGTAAAGAAAATTTGTGTTGATAAACATTGATTTTCCCACAATCCAATGCGCTCTTCTAATGGAAATCAGGATGCATGAGTAGTTTATACTTTGCGTGTGCAATTTGTTAGCTGTATTACTGAAGTATACTTTTTGATCTTAATCCCACAATACAACACGGCTTCCGGCTACGATTATTTCTGTCTTATGAATAGAGACAAATTTCTTTTTTTATATTCCTACTATCACTGCATTATACAAACCTAGTATTTGCTTATCATATGGCATATTTTTTTGATATCAAGTTTCCTTCAATTACGTGTCCTGACCATTCCTGTATAGGTAACAACGGCATTTCACAAAATCCTACATTACGGGTAAGAACTGTCATGACGCCCTCAGTGGCGAAAAGAAGACACGTTATAGGTTTTCTTTGCTACAGTTTCTTCTTGGAATAATGGTACCATGTTATCTGGAGAGCGATCATATGGAGACCATAGTAATGTCAAGAATAGGTTCTACTAACCTTGCCTTAAAGTGACACTACTGTCATGACTGCGTATAAAGCAGATTTAAAAAATAATAAATGTCATTACGTACGAGGCAAACAGTTTTAGAGAGCTTCTAAAAGCCTGATGCGTCTTCTTTAATTTCGTTTTATCATTCTATTATTTCATGCTTTTTCCATTTTTTTTTTTCCTATTTTTTTTTAATTTTCTGAAGTCTTGGTAGCCAAGCTTATATTTTTGGAGAAAGTTTGGTATAAATCTCATGACAATGTTCAATGTTTATCATCACTAGTAACATGAAACAGTATTCTGTTGTGAAAAACAAAGTCATGGTCCCTCAACTGTGGTCAAATATTATAAAACAATTGCTGTATTTATATCAGTTCCATAGAACACTATGTAAAAAACAACAACAAAAAAACAAAAACATTTTTTTAACCAATTGTAAAATACAGATACTTGAAATAATTCAGGATAACAAAAAGTATGCACTCCGTCAAGATATATATATGTTATCCATCTACAGTCTGAAACATGGTATAGCTACTCCACTGTAGTGATCAATGTAATATCACTCCAATACTGACAAAATGGCCGCCTTTCAATAAATTATAAGCAAAACTTTCTCAAAAGATATAATTCATTGCAAAATGATAAATCCTGGGTATTTTCTATTATGAATAGGGTTTTACTTTGATCTATATACCCTGCAAAAATGGAGACATTTTATTGTGACTGATTACTCTCACAAGTTTGAAGATGATCGGATAAAATTTGTTGGAGTTATTTCAACTAAAATACAGACTAATTTTCATTAGCTTATGGTGAGATGTAAAAATAAATGCGTGCTCCGACAGTCGAAATAGCTCTGAATGTTATATATATACAATAAAACAGTTATCAAAGTCAAATAGCACTTTTGGACAAGAATAACAAAAATTACAGAATTGAAGATATTGACATGAAATATTCAAATCTAGTGGAGGTCCACCACAGGTATCATCACAAAATAAACAAATCTGAAAGCAGTCCACATGTAGTACCTATATATGTAATATCGAAGCAATCAGACTTTAACAAGTAGTCGAAAATATCGGTATCACTTTTTACTAAAAATATTCATCAAAATTAGAGAATTAAACATATCATCATGAAATGAATAAATCTAAAGTCTACCCAAGGTACATACACACTAAGTATCAAAGCATTCAGGCTTGTAATTTTCAAGAAGAAGTCGAAAAAGTAACAAGCAGCCTGTCGGCTGAGATAGCTCTGCTGTTAGCAATGCACATTTCAATTAAAGAACAGAAGATATCATTAGAAAATGAACAATACATGTATGTATAGTATCAAAGCAATGGGACTTGCTGTTTTCAACAAGAATTCAAAAATATCACTTTTCACCAAAAATGACAAAAATACGGTAATCATAAAAATTAGATAATTGATGATACCACCACGAAATTAACAAATCTGAAAGAGGTCCACATGTAGTACCTATATATGTATTATAAAAGCAATCGGACTTGCGGTTTTCAAGAAGAAGTCGAAAATATCACTTTTTACCAAAAATGACAAAAATATTCATCAAAATTAGAGAATTGAAGATATCATCATGAAATGAACAAATCTGAGAGTGGTCAAAGCATTCAGGATTGTAGTTTTCAAGAAGAAGTCGGAAAAGTAAAACATTGACACAGACGACGACGGACAATCACTCATAAGTGTAAATGATAAGCTCTGCTCGACAAAGTTGACAGCAGAGCTAAAAAGTTGACACGGACACAGACGCCGACGGTCAATCATTCATGTGATAAGCTCCGTTCGACTAAGTCGACAGTGGAGCTAAAAAAGTTGACACTGGACACTGGGACAATGGCAACATCAGACAATCATCCATAAGAACAGCTCTGCCTGTCATCTTTTATTACAGCAGTGATAACATAACATATTACAAGTGTCTATAGCATGGTTATATAACTTTATTCTTTAAGTCAAAATATTACATCAAGGTTTATCAATTACAAATACATACATTGCTTGTAAAGATTAGGAAAACATTCTATTCACTGAAAGCTACAGAGTGCCAAATTAGACATCGCTAAGCCACTTAAAGGGGCATCAGCTGCATTTTTTGCCAATTGTTTCATACTTTGGAATCACTGTATTGAGCCGAAAAAACATTTATGGGATTAAATGAAAAAAAAATTGAGAGAAACGCTAGGGTGTACATGTGATGCATACTTTTATGTACCAAGACATCTGGAAAATGAATTTGTGTTGTAAAAAAACTGTCATTATCTAAATACATGCTATTATATACACCATGTTACTTACACACCACATGTTCATTCATTTGATACAAAGGTTATTTCAGCTGTCTATTATGTTGGTTAAAAACACAGCAGATGAGCCCTTAATATGAAACAAGTTTAAAATTTTTGTTTTAGAAAATGTTGGTTGTAGATCTTTTTTTTAAATGACACATGCATCGATTTTCAAGAAATTGTGAAAAAACTTCAATGTCACTATGCAGATAATGGCAAGCTTGTACAGACGCACTATGGGAAGTTCTTATGTGAAATGTACTCTGTGGGAATGTTACACTATTTCTAATAAAGCTATAACCCATTGCACAATTAAGAAAGTTAAAATTACATCTCATTTAAAATCAGATAATAAAATTTATGGAAACAAATTTAACCACAATTTAACACATTATTGATATATATTTACTAAGACACATCATTAAAACCAGCTGTACCACCCTATGACAGAATAGTCTGTCCCGTACTGCCTTTTCCAATAAACTAATTGTTAATAGTTGAATTTAACCTTAGGTACATAGTTCATAAAGAACTTGGGAAATAGAACCATTACTCTACAGCTCCACGAACATTCAGTATTACTATAGACAAAATTAATATTAAGAAATTTAGGATTTAAAGGTGTTCTCACTTTATTGTAGTTTGCCAAAATTTAAAGTTATTACATGTTTGGGGGTGGGGGTTCAAATGATCTTTTATGTGGGTAGAAAATTTCAAGTCACATTTCGATAAACAATGGCCTAAAGTTTTCATTGAAGATTTTATTGTGAATTCAAGCTGGACACATTAATCAATTTTATCAGACAAAAAAAAATATTTGTACTTGAATATCATCAACTTGCTATTAAAGATGCACTCTGAAATTGGTATCAATGGCTACCCATAATAAAATCAAAACTTTACTATGATGCGGGGAGTGTATAGGGCTACATGAAATAGCTTTTGTTTGTTACTGAGCAGCCTTTAATAAAGTATTACTAAAAATATTTTTTTTTAATAGTAATTCAGTCTTTCCCTAGAACACAAGTTATGTCTTTTGTGATTGGCTGAAAGTCAATATGCAAATGTACACCAGTGCTGTTAAAATACCTGACAAAAAACACTGTTAATTATGAAATAAGAGTGAATGGATATTGTAAACTAAAAAAAAAACATTATTTAAATCAATAAAAGCCCACATTAGGAGACACCAAAAACACAAACTAATTATTTATAATCCTACATATTAAACAATAAATAATTTTTTTTTAGATATTTACATCTTAATTTCTGAAATTTTAAAAATCATTGATTTGTGCACGTTTCAGGGAAAAATGCAACAAAAGACTTTGATAATTACATTCAACTGCGATAAATTATTTAAGTGCAAGAAATACAGACAAAAAAAAGATACATTCAATCATCATTAGAACATTTTTTCAGTGACAAATGAACATATAGTGACACAACGAATAGGTAAAGTGTTTGTGGGTGTTTGTATCCATAACCTTCAAGCTCATGTGAAACAGAATACATTACAGAATGAACAGATTGTTGGCTAAATGCTGAAATGCGCTAAAATACAGTGTTCATACAGTACTGGCACACTGGGGTTAGTAAATGAATGGCATTACGTGAGTTTTTAACAGACCTTAAAATGAGGAACGTTTAGATGATTGTAATTACAAAAAAAAACAAGTATTTGCATTAAATATCCCAATTTATCAATTTTGAGAAATATATGTAGTTTGATAATGAATTAAAACTAAATGACCACCAGTTGGCCATTTTGAATCCCATCTGAAAAACAAAATTTTGTGCATTAAGTTTCCATGTTTAATGTACATAAAAAGTTTGAATGAAATCTGTCCATGCATGACTGAGATAGAGATCGAGAATTGCAGAATTGCGAAACTGAATTGGAACAAAAATTGAATAGATATGCTATTTGTAATATGATGTATGACGCATATATAAAGGTTCAACATCATCGGTCAAGGATTGTCATATATAGCGCTGGAAATACAAAAGGACACGGATCAAGGTCCCATAATTTCTGATGTTTGTAGTGTAAACAAAATCCATCTATAAACAACCAAGATTCAGTTCCAGAATGGCAGGAATGCTTGAATTTGATGAGCTTTTAACATTAAAATGGCCACTATTCGGCCATCTTGAATTGCATTGTCAAATGAATATATGCGACATAATTGGTCAAGGCATGTCAGAGATGATCTGGATCAAAGTCTAATAATGTCTATGTATGTACCAAATCTGAGCAATATCAGTTCAGACACGACTATGATCCGGTTCTGGAATGGCGAAAATGCTTGTTTTTGATGAATTTTTTGCACAAAAATAGCAGCCATTCACCAATCTTGTATTGGATAGTGAAACAAATGAGCGTGCACATGTATCCTAAGATGCATGTGTGAATGTGATCGGTACAGTCATCTTTGAGGTATAGGTGAACACACACATACGTGGAGGTTAAAACATAAATGCCTGTTTTAGGACTTCATTCGAATTAGAACTAATTACCAACTAGAACTTAATAATAAAAAAAATATAAGAATGGTAACAAAATTATGATTAACATTAAAAATAAAAAAGTTCTTCTAATAAAACTATGCATCTTGCGATAGATGTATTCGGCTCAAAAACAATGCAGTCAACAGATGATAAGAAGTGTCATAACTGTTAGCAAATAA